GATTACTATATCACTACTATTTATTCAATATTAATATTAATTAGATACTAAATATAAGGAATATCAACTGTTTAAATTTATAAAGTATATCGAAATTTTAACTTGTCTTTTTGGACGTGCATGGTCCACGTAAACCTTTTATATTTCAAAAATAAAAATAAAAAATTTTGCATCATTGTTTTCATCTGAAAAAAATATTGGATATAATAGTATTATACCAACACACATGTATCATAGTTATATGAGTAGATATAATAGTTATATCAGAGGTCTATAAGTGGTAAATTAGAAGCATATTAAGTATATATCAAATATATATTAGTGTTATATTAGTGTTAAATTATATAATCATATAAGAAATTATATCAGTAGATACCATAGTTATATAAGTGGTATATCATTTGTATATCAATGGTAAATTAGATACATTGCATATATATATATTGTATCAGCGTGGTAAATTAATGATTGTTATATGTATATCAGTGGTAAGACATGTTAGAAGTTGAGTAGATATTATTGTTATACCAGAAGTAAATCAATTGTATATCATTATTATATCAGTAGTATATCAGAGATATATATCAGTGTCAGATATATTACAAATATATTAAATGGTGAATTTGTAATTTTAGAATCGGACCTCCGTTTTTTTTGAAAAAAGTGCTATATTTGAAAAACCTAAATGTGGTTGCTATTTTGCTTATTTTACTTAACTTATTTTGCCATATTTGCAAGTGTCCCTTTTTTTTTTCTAAATTTTAAGACCTATTATTTTGATCTAATAATTTAATTTTAACAAGGATAGGAATTAGAAGATTAAAAGAATGCTACTTTTTTAAGTCCCTATCAATTCTTATTTGGTCTTTTTAGCTTTTAAAAGTTTTTAATTAGGTTTTTTTGAAAAAAAAAAAATAATTCTTATACCTCTTATTTTATCTTATTTCGTGTACTAAAGGGACTATTTTGATATCTATTAGCAAAATAAATAAAAAAAATCTATACATAATGAAAACCCTTTACCATAAAATCATGATTACATTTTAAAAAATATATTCAGTGTTGAAATTGTGATAAAAAAATGAGATTAAAAATAAAATTAAGGGATCAAAACGATACTTTCTTAAAGTATATGAACTAAAACGAACATTGTAAAAATATAGGAACTAAAACTAAGCAAAAGTTAAAAGTACATACTAAAATGGAAGTAAATGAACTAAAATAGTAATTTTTTAATTTTTTTTTAATGGAAATACTTGATTGAGATTTTTTAATATATTAAGAGTAAAATTGAAAATTTTAAAATATTTTTTTCTTAAAAATTAAAAAATGTAAAAGATTAAAGACAAAATGAATTAATTATGGTTCATTTGGTTGAGAAAAAATTTAAAGCACTCTTAGATCTTATCTTACATATAAAAAAGTAAGAACATAAGTTATGCTACTTTTTTTTTGGGTTAAATATTTTAACAGAAAKCATTAGATTTGGGATTTAAAAATAGGGTCGCAAAATTATACTTTAACATAAAAGTGATCAATTTAAAAAAAAAAGAGTTATTTCTAAGTATTTAGAAAAATAGGGGTTAATATACTAAAATGGAAGAAGACTTTAATTTTAAACTAATAATTTATTTTACAAATTTTTTTATTTTTATTTTTAAAAGACTAATTTGTTTCCATTAAGTCCTTTACCATTTTATCACTAAAAACATTTAGGTTAAATTATTAATTTAGTTGCTATATAACCTGACAAAACATTCTCAAACTGTTTTTTACCTATAAACCAACTTGAGCGTAGTTCAACTAATATTGGATCAAAAGGCTGTACTTTGAATCTCCACCTTCATTCGTTGTGTTGAAAAAAAAAATATCCTTTATCCACTCGAAAAATCCACCTCCTTTTCTCTATTAATTTTTTTTTCATCTCTAAATCTGAAATAAATAAATAAAAATATTAGCCAAGGTAAATAAGAAATATATCACATATGAAGGGGTATGAAATGGATAAATTTTCATATTTATTTTATAAGTGAATGGTAGGTTCACTCCATCAAATTAAAATATATAATATTTCAACTCAATTAATAAAATATATTTAATTGGGAAAAAAATCAATGCATAAATAGATGATACTGAAACTTTCAAAAGAAATATCCAAACAAACCAAAGAGTGTTATTAGCCTTGCGTAGTATGAATAATACAAGTCCTTGGAATGTCAAATCCCGCCACCGTAATTGTAATATTTTATTTTAAAAAAATGAAAACGTTAAATTCAATATGGATGAGGGGTAAATTAGTAAAAGTAGTCTTCGTCATCATCGTGGTCAAGGATCAAAGAAATGGTTCATCCTTTGAGATAAATCATAAATGGGCCCTAAAACGCCGGCCCATTCCGAACTGTTGAATGGATCAACAATGGCGGAGTTCACTTCAATTCAAGGATTTTGATATGTTGATTACTCCAATCTTCAGGCCACCGTACCGTTTTCTTCCCCTTTCTTTTCCGCCTTCTTCTTCTCCTCCTCCTTCTCACGAGCCTCCAGTTCAGCTTCACGGATTTTGGCCTCGGCTTCTTCGTTTTCGATCTTTTTAGATTTCAGAAATTCGATCAACTCCCGCAGAGCACTGTCAATCTCATCGCCCTTCAGCAGCTGCTCGGCCACCTCCGCCGGAGTTACTTTTGTGGTCAGAATCGATTCCTCGATCTCAGGAAACAATTTGTGGTTCTCAATCCCGAGGTAATTTGACGCCAAAACCCTGAATCCACAAGGGCTGCAATACGACATGTGAACATGAACGTCCATTCTTCCCGGTCGGAGCAACGCCGGATCCAGCTTCTCTTTATGATTCGTCGTGAATATGATTATCCTCTCGTCGCCGCAGCTCGACCACAGCCCGTCGATGAAATTCAACATACCCGATAACGTCACCGCTCTTCTTCTTGAAGAAGACGATGATTCTTCTTCTTTGGCTTCCGATGCTCGATCTTGAAACTGGATCGAGCAATCAATATCCTCCACCACTAGAATCGAGCGATTCGCAATTCCCATGAGCAATTTCCTCAGATCCGAATTACAGTCGAGCTCCGTTAACTCCAAATCATACACATCGAATTTCAAGTAATTGGCCATTGCCGCGATTAAGCTCGATTTCCCGGTTCCTGGTGGACCGTACAGCAGATACCCTCTCTTCCAGGCCTTTCCCACCTTCCTGTAAAACTCCTTCCTCTTCACGAAGCGCTCAAGATCCCTCAGAATGAAATCCTTGATTTCAGAGTCCATCGCAAGCTTATTGAACGTGGCAGGGTGATCCAGATTCGTCGGAATCCACAAATCCGAGATGCTGCCGTATATATTCTGGTAATCGACGGCGAAAATCTTCAAGGTTTTAGCCTGCTGCTTCAACTCTTTGGCTTGCTGCAGAACATAGGGCAAATAAGATTTGAGGACCATTTCCCTGTGTTTCTTGTGAAAACAGAGCTCGAAAGATCGGACCACGGATGTGTAGGGCGATCGAGGGTTGTGGAAATTCTCCCTCTGGATTTGGTTACAGACGAGGAACCACTGCAATTTGACGCCATTGAAGGTGTCGATTACTTCCTGGTCGGATTCGATGGTGGTGGTGATGTTATCTTCCTTCTCGGGCTTGCTGACTTTGAGTCTGTGAGTGGAGGGGGAGACTTTAGTGGCTAAATAGGTCTCGGCGGCTTCGTAGATTCCGTTGGGGCCGAGGCCGTCCATCTCTTCGACGACCATGGTGAGTTGGGAGGAGAAGCGGGTGAAGATGCTGCGAAAGCCATCGTAGAAATATTCTCGGAGTTGCGGCGGTAGGAGGTCTTGGGCGACGGAGCGAGCGAGGACGACGGTGGCGGCGAAGGAGGCGGCGGCAGTAAGCAGAGCTTTGGCATTTGCTAGCTTTGCTTCGGCGGTAGAGCCGTCCAAGGCCATGGGTGATCCGAAGAAAGCAGTGAAATGGGAATGTGAGGCTGTGGAAGAAGAAGAAGAAAGGGGTAATGGCAGCAGAGATGGAGTTTGTTTAAATAAGGAAGCAGAAGGTTCCATGAACCATCGCCATTGCCGATAGGATTGACCATCTCAAAAAATTGGTAACAAAAGTCTATGGACTGACTCTTTTTCTCTCTTCTTCGTCTTCTCCAATCTCGAGGAGTTTTTTTTTTCCCTTTATCTTCTGGTTTAAATCTGATTTTTAATGCTTTGAATTTTTTAAAATTCTTTTAGGTTAAATTGCCCAAAAGAAAGAAAGGAAAAAATCCCTATATATGTACTCTTTTAAAAATTTCAATTCTACGGGTAAATGGTTCAAAAATTAAGAGAAGTTGTAGAGTTTAGAAATTAGAACTATGATAATTAACCTAAAAATTTGCTTGAATTAAATTTGAAAAAAGAGATTAAGACTAAATTAAGATGATATTGGGTATAATTTGACTTCTAACAAGATTCATTAATAATTTTTAAATGAAAAATAGACATAGAATTAAACAAAAATTAGCAGCAACAAAAGGGAAAAAAAATTCCATATTTGAAAGTTGAGACGCACATGCGTATTGGGTGGGACGTGTCCTCCAAGGTATGACTTGCCAAGAAATGATAACGCCACCCCGTTGACGGCTGATTGACTAAGCTTAGGTCTCAGACCAAGTCTTTTTTTTTTTCTTTCTTGTTTTGTTTTGGTTAATCAAATTTGAAATTAGTGTCCAGTTGTTCCCTAAGATTCCAACAAAGGTACTTTCAATCCTTGAAATACGAAAAATAATTTTAAATGGTCCTGATTTCATTTAATTATTTGTTAACTCATGATAAGATTTTTCTAATAATTTCTTTTTTTTTTCCTCACAAATTATCTCCTTTCCTTGACTTTCTTCTCACCTCCCTCCTTCGGTGAAGCTCACCACTAGCCTTCACCAGCCGCCGTCTCCATCGTCGCTAGTTTTAATCATTGTCATCACCAATCTCCGCTGACCATAAAGAGGGAATGAAGGAGAAAAGGGAGCTCTCCCTCTTTCCTTCGCTATGAGCTTGAACGGAGGAGGGGAGAGATAAGAAGATGAAAGGAATGAGATAATTTGCGGAAAAAAAAATCCAATCATAAAAAAATATTATTCAATTAATATATTTTATCAAATTTAAAAAATATAATCTAATCTTACAGTTAGACGTTAGAAACTATTTAAAAATGTTTTACAAATTCCAGTGACTAATGTCTTTTTTTGAAACTTACCAAAGCTAGAATGTGTTTAGAAAAATCACTTTTGGTATGGTCAAAATTACTTTCCTTTCTATTCATTATGTTTGGTAAATTAAAAAATTGATTTATTTAAATTAATTTTTAAAATTAGATGATGATTTTGAAAAATCAATTATATTTAATTTTTTTTTCAAAATAACTCATCCTACCACCAATCTCAAACACACGCTAATATCAAACTCAGGTGTATTTTACCATTTTTAAAAAAAGAGACCAAGTCTCCTTTCTTTTACTAAAAAAAGGGTTCTTTTACCATTTAGAGACATTAAGTACTAATTTTATGAAAAATGACACAGAACGCACAAAATAAAGTAGTTAATTATGGAAAATGGAATGATGGATCCTCTAAATTCTGATCATCTCTCTTTTGTCTCCATTGAAAATAAAATGGGTTCTCCTCTCTGAATTTCTATTTTTGTGTAAATTTGGATTACTTGAATTGTCAAATTCGCACAAATCTAAAAAAGATGACACGCAAAACAAATAGGATAACACACCCGTGGTGCTAGCCACTTCAATGTCTAAGTCAAAATTGAGTTTTGTGTGAAGTTTAGCTAGAAATATGGTTTTTCAATGTACTTTGTTGGTAGGGTATTCACTCATGGTGGGCTAGACCGACTTATGGGTGGGTCGGCAGACGAACTAGTGGGTCTAGGCTGGGTTGACCAAACCGGCTTGTGAATTTGTCATTCTTCAATCATGGATAGTTGGTCCCCAACTGGCTGCTCATCAACTTTCATCTATAACATATGTAAAATGACTCAACAAATGGGAGTTTGAACCTCCGACTTCAAAAGGAGTAGATGCCAATTATCTGCTGAACTATGTTCATGTTGGTCTATTCGCGAATTAATTCTGCTTTTTTTTAGTACAAGAACTGATTTTTTTTGTACAAGTAATTGAGATGTTGATGAACAGTAATCATAACTATTTATTAACTATAATTATAATGACTTTTTAATTTAAATATTTTTTAGGGTACTTATTAATTTAGATATTGATTGGTAGCGATCCAATAATTAATTAATATGTGTTTTTACTTTTGTTATATTTATAACTATTTTAAAACTAATTATACTAGGTTTTCTTTTCGCCATCAACACTTTAACAATACCAAATTAGCCATATATCGATGGAGCATGGCCTTGGATGTCATTTGCTAGCTATAATTAAAAATGGGCCGCATACTCAACAAAATGGTTAGCCCATTACTTGATGTGGGTCAGAAGCCCAATTGACAACAAAACGGGCTTGGTAGTATGATTAAAACCATAATATCAAGTCGGTCAAAAAATAAAATAAAATCATAATATCAAGGAAGTGCAGAAAATGTATTTTCAAATTGTAAAATGGTTTAAAAAAATTGAGGTAAAAATATAATTTTTAAAATTTATTTCAAAGATGTTATTAAGGAAATACTGCGTATCAAAATATTGTGTTGTCATATATATTTGTCACAAACAAAAAAGAAAAAAAGAAAAAAAGAAAAAAAAGATGGTGATGTCAAAAGAGAAAAGGAAGGAGAATAATCAATAAGAGAACAAGATATGACTCTCCAACTATTGATAATGAAAAAGGATCAAAATAAGATAAAGGAAGAAATAATGAACAAATGGAAAATTTGAAAGTTATTGAGCAATTCAAAGTTGAACCAAATATGTGATTGATACGACGACAATCAAAAGCATAATATTTAGCACCACAAAAGGAAAGATATAACACTTCAAAGATGATTAGGAGAGATAATAAAAAGTTCCTACATCAAATATAAAGTCATTGTCAATTGAAAATATATAAATTGTGTTTGTTATATTTTAATTATTTGATGTACTAACAAAAGATTGAATATTGTGAAATAAAAAAAAAATTTATATTTTGTATGGGTCGGCAATTTTTAATGTTAAGTATTTATTTCACCCTTAATTTAAAAACTAAATTATTGCTTATTCAAATCGAAGTATTACTAAAAGAGGGGAAGATTATATATATATTGACAGGAAAAGAAGGGAAAAAATATTACTAATTTCTAAACATAAAATTATTGATTAGAGACATAATTGAAAATGGATGAGACAATTGAAACTCTACTTTTATAATATGTAAGATCAAATTGAAAAAGAAAAACGAGTATAGAATTAAATAAATATACTTCATCTAAAAAAAATTAATTCTATTTTTTGTTTCCTCTGTATGTCAATGATATATTTATTTCGGTCAGTGGTTAATAAATTTTCAGACATTCATTTTAGTCTTCGTATCTTCAAACAACAATCATTTTAGTAGTTGTTTGTAAAATCTTAATCAAAAATTTTATATGCAACAAAATAAAATTCTTTAATACAAATGTATATCAATGTTTCAGTAAATTTAAACTTCTTTTCTTGGATTAAGTATATTTATTTAATCCTATAATCTCTTTTTCAATTTCATCTCATGTATTAAAAATTTCCTTCATTTTCTTATCTCATTTTTTAATTGCTTCTTTTCTTTTCTTTTTGGAGACTAGAAATATTACCTATGGACTAAAATTGATGTTTTGAAAGTATTGCGACGAAAATAGATAGAAACTAAAAGTATAATAACAAAATAGGATTTAAAAAAATAAAAATAAAGAAAAAACTACACTATTATGAACATTGCTACGGTGGTGGAAAGGTAAAATTACCAAGTTTTGTGGTGTTGCATTGCATGAATCATATGATGCATCCCTTCCAATCGCTCAGCACACGGTTCTCCTTCTATTCCCTGCCGACAGCTTATTATAAAAACAACACGATTTTCTTTTACAATAATGTTCGATTATCATCATCGTTATCATAAACCTGTAATTCAGATTTCAAAAAAACAGCAGAAACTAGCAAAGAGCAATGATCCCACCCAATTCTACAGCAGAAAGTGTAAAATCTGATCGATTCCAAACAAATTCTATTCAATCATTCAGTTAATGACCATTTTGATTTCAGAAAGGGATTTTTTTTTTAATTTATTTATATCTCATCTAGTTAAACTGCAGAGAGAAGAAAAAAGTAAAAGAAAAAGACAATGTAGTACTGAAAATTCTCTTCTTTTAGCCGCAGTTTTTGAAAATAAAAAAACTTAGGTTTAGTTTCAAAATTAATTATCATAATTGGGAGAACCACACACCACCTTAAAGTATCCGAATAACAAAAGAGGAAAAATCTAGGAAAAGAATTAACAAATATTTTCTTGTCGGCTTTCACTATGATAGAAAACCACTTAGGTGTTTACTCGTCAACACTCATCTTCCTACTGACCACTACTAAAGTCTAAAACTTTGACTAACTCTCATTTTTCTAAAAGACAAAAAGGTCCCTCTTTCTACATACACATCAAAACTTCAAAAGTGGTTAGATGAGTGCTAACCAGTCATCACTAAAATATTTTTGAATAAAAAATTAGAATAATTTGTCCTATCAGTTTATCAAGAGTCACATAGCACCTCCAAGAAATGAAAGACACTCCATAGATCAAATTAGATTTTGAAACAGTCTGATAGAAAATTTGATCCTTTGTAATGGAGGAGTCATCGAAAGTTGATGATTAGAGAGAAGGAGAGATAGAGAGAGAGGGAATATTTGGAATGAGCACATGTAGACAGGAAATCCAACAAGGTTGAAGCTGAAAAAAATATGTAGTTGGGTTGGAAGTTGGGACCCTCGAAAGGAAACACAACACACAGCACTACTCCACCGAAGCAAAGGAGGTGTTATGGGCATGGCCGGCCACAAAACTCCAAGCTGTCCTTATCAGTCTACTTTCAGAGTTGTTATCATCTTACGTTAGCCAAGTGCTGCTACAGATCCGTTTTAATGGCCTTTTGGTTCCTCTTCTACCATCATTTTAACATTTAAAAGTACTCTCCGAACCTGCCTCGTGGGTTTCACAAATATCCTTAAATTCTCAAACTGGGTCCCTTTCCTTCCCTTCCATTTCCATTTTCAATCGGAATCTCCAAGGATATAATATAATCAACCTCCCCACTCCTCTCCACTACCCTCATAATAGGGACCTCTCGCTCAATACCCACCTCTTACCATCTAATATCTCAACCAATTCTCCCTCTATTCACTTTTCACCTTTCAGAAGAGACCCCTGCACTTTTCTGTTTTGAGGTGAAAAAGGCTATACTTTAGCATTGTCCAGATAGAATTTCGGACAACACCTCAGGTTTGGTGATCCAACTTGTATGGATATGAAATCACATACTCATCCTAGTTTTAGAATCAAATCTCCACCTATACTTTACATACATCTAATACAGTCCTCTGCATAACTCGATCTCATTTTAACAATTCCTCTACTGTTAACGCCACATTGCGTCTAAAGTTTCGTCTAAAAGACTTTTCTGATATTGGTGCAGGGTAGAGGAAAAGTGGACTCCAAAAGGGAAAAGCAGAGAGAGAGAGAGGAAGAGAAAGAAGAGGCTAAGATATAAGAGGACTCCATAACCATAAAACTTATAAATTATGATCCAATCAACAATTATAAAGCCGAACATAAATGCTCAATCCACAAGTATAGTCTGATTGATCTCCATCAAACGTGATGATGGTGGGCATCTAAGGAGTCCTTAATTATATATTAGAAGCATTTAGTTTGACACCATATAACATCAAATCCTTACATCACAATCATGATTATAAAAGAAAGAGACTGGTCATTTGTCCACTATATGATAAATATATTCTATCGGAAAACAACATTAAGACGCCAACTTGAATTGAAGATTAAACACGGGTGGATATAATATAATGTGTCTTTTTTATGGTATGAATCTTTCCATTATTATGACTAAGCATCCAAGGATATACATTGGCGACCATTTAAATATATACCACATCTTATCTTGTTGAACACTCGGGCCCTCCTTATATTTATATATTGCAGCATCTTGCAAAGAATAATCCCACCTCATTGGAATCATTCATTGTCTTCATCAATAGTCAATAGAGTTTTTTAGAGAAAAGTTAAAGATGTTGTGGAAGGAAGAGCTTGTGTTCTTAGCTCAAAACTATTTTGACACCGCAGTGGTGGTGGTTCTTTCCATAACTATTTTATTGTTGGTTTCAAAAGCTTGGAGGAGGTTGAGGAGCAAGAATGTTGGAGGAATTCCTGGTCACTTGGGGTTGCCTTTTGTAGGGGAAACCTTCTCTTTTTTTTCTGCTAATAACAGTACAAAAGGATGTTACCACTTTGTCAGGCTTCGCCGGTTATGGTTAGTGGTTCTTTCTTTCCCCATGGTGATTTCGCATATTCTTTACACAAGTACTATTATCGGTATCTACTTCTAATAATTCTGGATAATTTCTTTAAGATTTTTAATATATATAGCTTATATATGATTTCTTCAACTTCTTAATTAGATAATTCTAAACTTGGCTACAAAACTAGACTTTGATTATCATCACAGTCAACTACAATGAATGTTTACACTTGGCTACTGATGTGAGTTGCATGGCCATTTGGAAAGATACATACATATACATACATAAGCATGTATATACCAGACAGTTTAAAACATGGAATTGATGACTGTGATGAAACTGAACTAGGCATGGTAGGTGGTTCAAGACAAGGCTATTTGGAAAGATCCATGTGTTTGTTCCAAGTGCAGAGGGTGCAAAAGCAATATTTGCCAAGGATTTTGTCCAGTTTAATAAGGGATACGTGAAATCCATGGCAGATGCTGTTGGAGAGAAGAGTTTACTGTGCGTTTCCCATGAAAACCACGGAAGGATTAGGCGTCTCCTATCTGATCCTTTCTCCATGACTTCTCTGTCTAAGTTTGTCAAAGAATTCGACGACATGCTCTCCGAAAGGCTAAAGAAACTTGAAAAAGATGGGAAAGGTTTTGTACTACTAGATTTTAGCATGAAGGTGAGTTAAAAAAATTCATGATCTTTCTCGAACTTTCCTGTTTGACTTGGGCGGCTAACATATCTTATCTTGTGTGATTTGCAGATAACATTTGATTCCATGTGCAACATGCTAATGAGTCTAAGAGATGAATCTACACTCAGACAGCTTGAGAAAGATTGCATTGCCGTCTCTGATGCCATGTTATCTTTCCCATTCATGATCCCAGGAACTAGGTACTACAAAGGCATCAAGGTACGGTCAGCAGCTTTTCAAGATATAGGCACCCAATTTACTAGTACAGTACAGTATAATTAATAAGGAGTTTTTGACTTCATTAAACCTTAGTAACATATATACTAATTACCAACAAACTGAGCAGGCACGAACTCGACTCATGGAAAGGTTTAGAGAGATAATTTCCAGGCGGCGGAGGGGAGAGGAGTCACAGGAAGACTTCCTGCAGTCAATGTTGCAGAGAGATGCATATCCTCCTGATGAAAAGCTAGATGACACAGAGATAATGGATAACCTATTGACACTGATAATTGCAGGCCAAACGACTACAGCTGCTGCTATGATGTGGAGTATCAAGTTCCTGGACGAAAACAGAGAAGCCCAAGAAAGGCTGCGGGTAAGATCCACGGCCTGAAGTTGCTAAAAATAAGCTAACAAACATTACCCATAATCCACGGCTCTTCATATTTTTCATTCCGAGTACTCCTGTGAAGTGACTATTAAATAATATATTCATCCCAAATCTCCAGGAAGAACAATTGTCAATTCTACGAAAGAAGGACTATGGAGAACAGCTTACCCTTGAAGACCTTAACAAAATGTCCTATTGTTTAAAGGTTCTAAGCAACCTACAAATTGTTCTTGTTTTGAAAGAAATAAACAGAGCGATTTAGATTGTAACCAATTCCATGCATAATGCAGGTCGTCAAAGAGACGTTGAGAATGTCCAATGTTTTGCTGTGGTTTCCTCGAGTGGCACTAGGGGATTGCAGATTAGAAGGCACGTTTCTCCAGTTATACCCATTCTCTCTCCTTTTGATATTTCTTTCACTAATGGAAGCAAGTGAACACGGTTTTCTACCGTAGAAAAGGAAGTAAACTCCTGTAGGTCTAATTCTGCTGCTAGAAATATACGCATATACATGTACATAAAAGCATCCTATTGGTACATAGATAGAAAGGATGCCATCTGGAAATGATATGCAGGTTTTGAAAAAAAATGATTAGACAGAGGGAACCGGGAACCCCATCCAACTCATTTTGCCCGTGATATGCAGGTTTTGAAATAAAGAAAGGATGGCATGTGAACATCGACGCAACATGCATTCATTATGACCCAGATTTGTACAAGGACCCCATGCAATTCAACCCTTCCAGATTTGATGTATCTACCTACAATCAATCACTATTTCTTGTTCTTTTTCCTTTTCTTTCGGCTACTAAACATTCTAGTTCATGCACCTATGATTCATAACTCCAGGAAATTCAAAAGCCATACAGTTTCATACCTTTTGGATCTGGACCCAGGACCTGCCTAGGAATTAACATGGCCAGAGTAACAATGATGGTCTTTCTGCACAGAATGACTGGAGGGTACATGTGAGTCTATACATTTCTAAAGCAGCGGGAATTTCATCATGTTTCAAGAGATCATTCAGAATATTGTCTCCTTCTTCTTAACATTGTCCTGATCATAATTATTCTGCTATTGGCTAGGTGGACAGTTGATGATCCAGATCCTTGCCTTGAAAAGAAGGCACATATCCCTAGGTTGAGAAGCGGCTGTCCCATTACCTTGAAGACCTTGTAAGATGGGACATAAGTGTAGAAGCGAGAATTTTCTCAGGTATAGCTAGGAGAAGTGGTACGATTCTAATGCATGGTAATAAGATAGGTTAAATTTCTTAAAATTTGAGGAAGCAGGTGATAATAAGTATCATATCCTCTAAATTTCACTTCTGTTAAGCTTCCTGAAAAAGCATACTAGTTAAGGCAAAGGAAAAGATAACTTCGCAAAACTACAGTGGGAACTTCTCACTTTATGATGCGTCTTTTCTTTTCTTTAAGAAACTATTTGTGGAGTCTTTATAAAATTCAATATAATTTAAATAAACTAAGGTAAATAAGAGCTCCTACTTGGCATGCAGTCCATAAGATCTGGTTAACTGTTTGGTTTGATTTTGCTCACCTATAAAGTAATTCTCTTTACATTCTCCATCTGTCTGACTCCGTATGGTTAATTTTCTGCTAACACCGAAGTGTATTATTTATACTTTAATCTCTATCGTTAATGTGACATGCTTGATAACGTTAAATCTTCAATAATATATGATATGCATGTCCCTTCAAACCCACCTCTTGCACCACGACACACTGCACAAGAATGAAATTTTAATTACATTATATCCTTTTCAATATAAAACTTCTTATGTAAATGACCATAACGCTAGTATTAAAAAGAATTAAAAATGAAATTACCCGTTCCTCCACACGATAAATATATCTGTATATATTAATATATAGGTAAGTTTAAACTATTTTTTTCCTTCAAATTTTATATTGGGACTCATGTAAATATTTTTATGAATAAAATTTGAGTAGGTCTCGAATTTTAATTCTTGATAAAATAAGCTGTATTGAGATTAAATTACAAAAACTAATCTGATTTCGATGATTATTCATAATATGAAACCTAAAAATGACATATATAAATAGAAACATATACTTATGTTTCTATTATTTGTCATTACCTAACTTAATATCATTTTATTATTTTAATTAATTTGGACATTATTTTTTTTTTTCACGAAACTTGGACAATATTGCTTGGAAAAACATATGACAGTACGGCATCCTTTCATTAATGTTTTTCCAATGATATAACATTTCATTGGATTATCCACTTTAAAAGCATTTCTAAATTCACCTTAAGGTCAATAGGAGCAACAATTGCTAAAATGGAATGAAGCATGCAACGTTTATATCAAATGATAGGAAGATATAGAACATACCTTAAAATTGACGATTTAGTAGCATCATCCAAAGCAAGATCTTTATCTACACTAGTGTCGTTGTCGCTTGAGTAGAAGATTAAGAGGAGGCTACACAGATTAAGCAAGTTAACAATTCAGAGTCAGTTTCATGCAAGCAATAATATCAGAAACTTTCTCCCATACTCAGATGAGGAAGGATAGACTATTAGAAAAACCTAAGCATCTGCATAACGTCAAGGACAATAAAATCTTTGCTCCGTCTTGGTTAAGGTCTGAAAAGCATGTGCAGTGGCAGGGAAGGTTAGCACTTCAAAGAAATAGCATATTTTTCTCTTGTAAGAGAAATAATGTGCAATTGTATAGAACAGTTCTTCCAGTGGAAGTTTTACTCTGCAAGATTCGAGATGATGTAGGATAATGGATCTTACCCAAATTTGATACTTATAATGCAACAAACCAAAAAAAAAAAACTGAAACATATCGAAGCTAAAAGATACGATTGGCCACAATTTTCACCCATCACATGTGTGTGAGAAGTTAGTACTAGTTATAATATACATGACAAGTATCAAGCTCGTGAAGGACCGCACTTCAAATTTTATCTCATTGAAATTGATTTGTACTCTTGGACTGTGCTAGTTATTGCTTGTTCAACTGGTAGCCTCTCCATGCTTGATGCACCATAAAATCCATGAACTCCCTTGGTTCTCTTCAGAATGAATGCAGCTTCACTAGGACCCGATATAGGACCTGAGAGTACCATTAGAATTTTAATATGAAGTAACTGTACATCTTTTCATTTTCACGCAAATGACAGATGAGTATTACATTGTTACATAGGCAATTAGCATAAAAAGAAACCATCCAACATTTACAGTCATGAGGATCGAGAGGAATTATCTCACGATGAATACAATCAATATAAATACAGATATTAACAAGAGATAAGTCGGCCAACTTTTGCTGAACTGTACCCCTGATTTTTTGGAATTAATCTCTTCCCTTCCCCTCCGGAAGGCAATACTGCTAATGTTTACTCACACATACAAACCATTAGCTGTTTTTCCACGCAGTCCCTCTCATCTAAGGTATCTATTCCATTGATCATTTTAGCACCCAATCCTCCCAAGATGTGGTCCAAAATTCACACAAGGGAGAGAACTTTCTGCATTTCTTACCAATCTGTGGGTATATATTACCATAATCCCAACTCATAATACTCTCTGTTGTGTTGAATGTTGGTGTGAGTGAAAGGATTATGGACGTTCATGCATTTCAGTGCAGTAACCTACTTAGCCAAATTCCAAAATCAAATCAATCAGCGATGTAGTCATAGAAAATACCTCCATGACAGAGCACTAAGACATTAGGATTGATTCTGTGAGCAGCATCTGCTATTGCCTGTACACGGAGTACACTTTCCTCCATTGTAAGGGCAGTTTTGGCTCCAATAGATCCAGAGGTAGTGAGCCCCATGTGGGCAACTATAATGTCTGCACCAGCTTTTGCCATTTCCAAGGCTTCATCTTGGTTAAAAGCATATGGGGTTGTCAAGAGACCCATTTTGTGTGCTCTTTCAATCATCTTGACCTCCAATCTGTTCAAAAAATCCAAATATGGAATAGTAAGATTGTAAGATGAAAATACTGAAGAAAAATTTGAGAATAATCTTTGGTTCCCTAAACCTACATCCTACCCATATCCCATTCCTGTTTCTTCAAGGTTCTGTCTGAAGTTACCATCAAATAATCCAACAGTAGGAAAGTTCTGCACTCCAGAAAATCCAATTGACTCCACCTGCTTTAGGAAGTAATCCATTCGACGAAATGGATCAGAAGCACATACTCCAGCAAGCACGGGAACTGTGTTCACCACCTATACAAAATACAAGTTTTATTTCAGTTATTGTTCTTATACATATACAGCTGTCACAAATAAGAATGCAAAAGTAAGAAACTGTAAAAATATGATTCGACATCTAATAATTAAAAAAAAAAAAAAAGAACAAAGACAATATTTAGAATACAGCTCCGCTCCGTTTTTGGGCCCAAAGAATATTTAGTTAAATGCTTAGAAAATCTTACATCAGCATACTCGAATGTACAAACTCCATCACTCAGGAGATTGGGAGAGTCCCTAAGTAATCTACTGATATACATAATGCTCCGCATTCAAGCTCTCCAGTCCAACTGGATATATCACAAGGTTTAATTAAAGAAATCATATCGAGTCCTTTTTGACCTCATTGCTATTCCAACTTTATCAGTATACCGATTTCACTTCCATACAACATAACATTTCTTCCAATATTTATACATAAAGAAATTAAGTTATACAAAATTTTCTTTAGAATCGAAGTAATGCTTGCAAAGGGTTGGTCAAAAATTTGTAAATATCAATTCCTTGAATTAATTTTGTAAATCACAAAGTGCATGGAACTTACTGGCAGAACTTCATTGGCCATCTCGAGCACTATGGCATTAGCATCGGCAAAAGGTAGTAAGCCTGCTAAAGAACCCCTCCCAGCCATGCGAAAGCGTCCCGAATTGTACACCACTATCAGATCAACGCCACCAGCTTCTTCAAACTTGGCAGATATGCCAGTCCCCGCACCAGCCCCTATTATGGGCACTCCTTCAACTATTTGAGCTTTCAGGTTCTCCAATATCATACGTGTTCTTCTCAAAGTTACTGTTTAATGATCACAAGTTACATCTCCACATTGACAGAAGTCAGATTAAGCAGCCCTGAAATACTAAAAGCTGAAATTGGTGCGCTTTCTTACACTAAAAGGTCAAAGAAGCGATATAAGAAATAACCTGGTCTTGCATCTGGGAAATCACTAGGACTATAGATAATGCTTCCATGAACAGATAAATTTGACTCAGAAATGGAGTTCTCTTGAAGGTCTTGACTAATTTCAACTGAAACAATTTTTGGGTCACACAAGTCCTTCGTCTCTTTTGAAGTAATTTCCAAGAATGAGTTGACCAATACCTCGGCGAACTCAAGATCGTTAATATGATAAGGATACACCTTCACCTGTACCATAAAGAGCTTTAAATTTTACAGCGATGTTGAGGATCGCTTGCAAAGACAGGAACTTGGTTAAAATGACTTTATAAGTACCTGCCTATCATCATTTGACTGAATGTGCCTCTGTAGTTCATCTAAAAGAGTAGAAGTAGCTTCAGGATCATAAAATGGCTTCCCTGGTGCATCCAGAGCAGATACACCATTCTGCGGCAGGCACACACGAACCTTCACCAATGAATTGTTTATCTTATCAGCTATAAAATGAGCGATTTTTTTGTTCTCATCCACTGTAGTTCGCATCAGCGAAACCTGAAAAATAAGCAGCTTCCTTTTTTAGTATAGATGAAGAGAACATCAAGATAAAGAAAGACACTATGCCATAATGTCAAGATTCAGTTAAATTGCCAAAAAAGAACAAATAAGCAGAACAGAGCCACATAGAAGAATCACCTGCTTGTTATGTTCATATATATTCCTTCCGTGAAAATTAGAAGGTATTGCATCTCTGGATCCAAAGTTCACCATATCCAGTGCTCCTACACTTAGGACTAGTGGGATTCTCTTCTCTATAATGGCATCAAAGCGGGAACTGCCACAAGCCATGACACCTCCCACTAAATAGTCTGCAACCTCTGTTGTTGTGATGTCCAAGACTCCCTAGGTGATATTGAATGAAAATGTTCAAAATAAAATAAGATAAACCTGATCGTGATCTATCTCCAATTAAGAGAGAGAGAGAGTGAGAGAGAACATCATATGTAATCTGAGCATGGGCTATGGACCCTCACGGTTCTCTTACCTCAATAAACTATTATTGAAATCCATGCCATGATAGATTAAGAGAAATACAAGTAAGCATTATTGGGTTGAAATGACCAACAAGTCAACAAGTTTACTCATGATAGGGCAGTTGTGAGAAATGTAAGGCCAGCCAAGTATATCTGTATATATATATATATAATTAAAAAGACCATTCCTGACGATTTTTCTAATTTTATAATGCACTTCAGAACCAAGGCCTACTTAATCAACGGTCAACAGTCAGAGACAAGCCTCTCTCTTTTGTATCCTACAGATGCATTATGTTTTCCTAGTCGGTAACCAGGGCGTATCACGCTGACGCTTTAAATAAATCATTTTCTTCATAAAAGTACCTGGATAAATCCCTCTCTGACCAGAGATTCCATTGCCTTGCCCCCAACCCCGGTAGCATGAAAAACAAGGCTCTCGTAGCCTTCTTTAGCCAATCTTTCTTTGACAGAATTTACACAAGGAGTTGTAACTCCAAACATTGTCAAACCCACTGTTGGTTTTTCATTGAAATTACGAGAATCTTTAAACTTCTCGAGTCTTCCGACCACCATACCAGCAAATGCAGCACCAGCATTTGATAAGACGACCCTACTGACACTATTAATCCCGCACACATCCACTATAGACGGGATGAGTATCAGATCGGATGTCTCGATATAAGATTCTGTCTGACCACTAGCAACGGTTGAGACGATAAGCTTAGGGATTCCAATTGGAAGAGATTTTAACGCAGAGGATATGAGAGATGTCCCTCCACTGCCTCCAAGTCCAATAGCTCCAGCAATTACCCCATCCCCCCGGGCTTTACTAAGGAAATATTCAAGTGCTTTACTCATTATAGAGAGAGCTTTTCCGCGGTCATCGGGAAGATCATTTCCAGTGCGATCATAGCAAGAGAGAACATCCTCCCTCGACACGAAGACGAAATCATCCAGACTCTCGATCCCATGCATACGGCCGGTAGAAACATCAACAACCGTCACTTCGACCTGTCATTTCCATGACCACACAGTCAACACAAGCACAACGATGAGAATCGCAAATCAACTATGACGACTCTGGTTAGATATAGTGAGAATCACTTGATTTTTCTCTCTTGTTTCGGTTTACAGAATCATATGGCCCGACAAAACGATATACGCGAATTTGGAGATGGAAGAATAAACGTCGTTTACATTCGATAGTTCAGTCAATCAAAGCTGAAATTACAATATCCACGAAATTCACGAAAGACAAAACAATCACATGGAAAATTTTTCATAAACAGGCGGACGCCACATACATTGAAGTTCGAGAACAGTAACCTTAAAAGAAGAACTTCTAGAGAAGCTATTGAGGTTGGATCGAACTGTATCGGAAATGAATCGGAGCTCCTCAAGCTTTGAATCAGCCGTTGCGATACAGAAAACTCGGAGAGTCTTACTATCACCTCGCGTCGCCATTTTTTTCCTTTTTAATTTGATCTTTTTTCTTCTCAGAGATCCCAACTTTCCGACTGCAAAAAGTAGGTAATCTGGAAATCGGATTCTTATTTCTTCCGCAAAAGGGCATGTCCATATGTAAATATGTATTTTCTTTGTGAATGAAAAAGGTGGAAGAAGATTCCTGTGAATCGTTGGATTAGAATCTCACTCCTCAAACAACTTGAAGCGGTATTAGAAATCTCGACCTACGACCTCGTGAAAGATGACAAGTATTCTGTTTGTTAGTTGAGCTACACTGTCAAGTTGATGATAAATGTCTTATTAAAATTTTGGGTCAGAGAAATTTTATTACGTAGTATTAAGTTTTTTTAGTACAATAAATAGGAATGTGTGAGTTTTACGTGTATTCTAAAAAGAAAAAATCAACTTTTCTGCTATAGTATAAGCTTCACTTTCTTTAGTGTGGTTTAATATTATATTTGATTTTGACTTTAATTTGTAGTTATAATATTTATTTTTATAAAATTTTAAATTATATTTTAATATTTTTTTGATGTTATGTTATTTATATAAATATCGGTTTAATTAGATATGAATTTCCTACCCTTAAAACCAGCTCAAATTGGACTATATTTTGATAAATACTTTGGGCTTGGTTCCAAAAGGTCCAATCTAGTTTTTAATCTGAGAGGTAACATTTATTCATTTAGGTAAATTATGCTCATATTGATATTGATAAGAGGTAACATGTCAAGTTAATTATAAAGGCAAAAGAAAAAAAAAAGACTATGTCTTGCTTTCATTGATTAAAAACTAGATTGGAGAAAGTTCTTGTTATTCTTTATATTAGTATAACAATGGTAGAGTATATGAATTTGAACATGTGACCTCAAGTGAAGAAATATATGTCATTTACGGCTAAACTATGTCTATGTTCACACAAAATTCTTATGGGATATGGAGGATCGAACATCCGATTTTGAGGAAAAGAATATATGTCAATTACCGATGAGCTATCATGTAGACTGTTCTCATTATTTGAGTTGCTTCTTATATACCATGTCGTCTTATTTGAGACTCCTAGACTAAAAATAAACTTTAAATATATATATTAGGTCAATTACATAATATAGTTTTTTTTTAAGTTATATGATATAGTTCCAACGTTTAGATATAACACCGTGATTGGCCTCCAAAATTGGAAAAAATAAAAAAAGAAAAAACGAAAAGAAGAGAAAATTATGGAAATGGAATAGCTTTTCCTTGAGAAGCTAAAAGGAAAATAAATAAACAAAGAGATAAGAACCAAAGCATTTTCCCGAAGCAACCTCTTACGAAGAGAAAAACTCATTTTGTGAGGAAAAATGATGGGGAAAATGATCAACGGAGGATGATGGACATAACGAAGAAGAAGGGATAGACGAAAAATCGTCAGGGAAATTGTGGTTAACGGCGTAAGTGGAGAGACAAAACTTACAAACAAAAATTTCAATTAGGTAAGTTCTTTTTACGAAAAATAAACAGATTTTATTTTCTCTTTTTTCTTTTGTCGGGTATTCTTGTTTGAAATAGGAAAGATGGGAAGAGCTTAAGAAATAAGTTGTGTTATGAGTATGGAGAAAGAAGAAGAATGTGAATATTGGACCTTGGAGATTAGTAAAAGTTAAAAAGAAATAATAAGGGGTATTAATAGATATAGCCATTCGATTTCAAAATATGACCAGACAACTTTCACTTTTCAATAATGGTTAACATAGAATATAGAGGACGAAATTATCCTCCTCTAAATCATTTTTAAATGAATTTGTTATTTTTTATTTTTCATAGGAGAATCTACCTAACCATTTTTATAAGATAATTCAAATACTTTTAGAATCCTATCTATATTTTTCAATTCAAATAGTTTTCGAACCAATTTTAGGGAGAATTATAGTAACAAATTTGAAAAAAAAAAATATCTAATAAACAAAATGTAATTAGAAATAGAAATACTAATACTAAAGCTAGAACAAATACAACAAATACAAGGAACAAATAAATAAAAACAACAAATAAAAAATACGATGAACAAAGAAACAAAAATACAAAACAGAGAAATAACAATACAACAAATACGATGAAGACAAAAACAAATATGGTGAACACAAAAATACAACAAATACGGTGAACACAAAAACAAATATGGTGAGGAGAGGAACAAAATACAACAAATACGGTGAAATAGAGAACAAATATAACAACAAATACGATGAAGAGGTGTATTTTTGTGAACAATTAATACAAAAATATAAAAATAAGGAGAGAATAACAAATATACTGAACAAGATCAACTAAACAAATACAAATAATGTGAAAAAATAAGGTATATTTTTGTGAACAATTAATACAAAATATAAAAATAAGGAGAGAGTAACAAATACAATGAACAATATCAACTAAAGATTAATTATAAAGCACGGAAGAGTGAAGAGATATTTGAATTTAGTTTTTGACGTTTTCGTGGCAATTAGATGAATTTTGAGATTTGAAATCACGCGTTTATACCAATGATCTAGTGGTTGAAAATTGAGGAAATTCAATGAATTTATCCCTATTCATGCGTCTATAGTTATTAGATTGCATTATCGAATTACATATGACTGTGAGTTTTTACGTTTTAAGTCAATTTGATAATTTTTGAAGTGATAAAATCTCACACAATTTAGAGAATTACAGATTATCTTTAATGATTTATGAATCTAATTTATTTGGCCACGTGATTATTAATTACTTTGATTTAGAATGATCGTGATGTTTAACATCAAGTGTGTGTATATATATAGTTGTGCTATGCAATTATTAATTTGTTATACTGAGATTATTTGATATATAATAGAAAAATTGTAGAGGGTAGTAAAAATCTTTTATATATTTCAAAATATGTCATTAATTTTTTAAAATTTCAAACATAGCACAAATTTTCCTTGTATCAATTATATAATTTATTTTTTAGCTTTTTTTATGTCAAAATTTGCTAGCAACAATTTGATTTTTATAAGTTGTAAGGTTAGATAAGTTCGTGTTAGTTTGACAATGGATTCCATAATTAGTTTAGTTTGGATTTATTGTTAGCATGTCACATCCTAGATTGAGTAAGTAATATGAGGCAGGTCGTGTCCTTAGGTATTTTTCAATTTGATCCTTATTATTTAAAGATTTTAGTTCAATGATCTCTTAAGTTTTAATATTTTTCAACAATAGTTTTTATACTTGTGCAAAATTAATTAATGATAAATTCACCGTAACATGATATTTAAAAACTTAGAAAAAAAAATAGACAATCTGAGACAAAATTATTTCTATTTTTCTTCTAAAAGTTTTAAGAAATTACCTAAATTTTAAAATGACATAATTCCTCCTCTAAAATTTTATCAACTTATTAAAGTATCATTCTATGTAAACTGAAGCTCAAGCAATTTTAATCTTCACCAATAAAAGGAGTATAATTGAAGGACATTTATAGGGGTTTTTTTTAATATTGTTCTCCATTAAACTTATTTTAAAAATATAGTCGTTTAATTAAAAATACTGTAGGTTTCGAAACTTATTTTAAAAATATTATACTCATTTAGACGTGGAGCCATGTGGGCGCCACGTAAATTTTTTTAAAAATTTGAACGTGTCGTCTTTTAGAGACGACCATGTGATCCGGTCGGTTCATTTTTGGAAAAAAAATAAAATGTGTTATATTATATATTATTTAGTAGTTTAAATGTAAAAAACTGGTATAGTGGGTGTACTGTTACCCTTATATTGCTTTCATCCCAAGTTTGAATCCTAGGTCATGCATCTTTCTTTTTTATAACCATTAATCATCTCTTTGTATATATAATATATACTATTATTTATTTTTCTCTTTTTTACTTAATATTACCATTTCCATCCAAACTTTTTTTTATACATTATTATTTCTATTCTATATACTATTATTTATATGAAGTAAAAAAGAGAAAAGAGATGATTAATGGTTAACAAAAAAAGATGCGTGACCCAGAATTTAAACTTGGGATGGAAATGATATTAGGTAACAGTACATCCACTGCACCACTAAAAAGTTTTTTACATTTAAACTACTAAATAATATATAATATAACAAATTTTATTTTATTTTTCAAAAAATAACCGATCGGAAGAGACGACCAACCTTCTGTTTTTTAAAAGTACAATATTTTTAAAATAAGTTTCAAAACCTACAATATTTTTAATATTTTTAATTAAACAACTATATTATTAAAATAAGTTTCATTTAGAACAATATTAAAAAAAACGACATTTATATCATAAAAAAATAAATTAAAACTTTTTTAAACAAAGAGATTAAATTTAAAAAATATCCGAATATTAGAGACAAATACTGTAGTTAGCTTATATATCATATCACATTTTTTGTTTGTAAGATTATTTCTTTGAAATAAATTATTGAGTGAAGAAAAAAAAAACAAAAGATTATGATAAGTATGCTGATTTAATAGAAATTACTTAACGTACAATTGACCAATATTGATACCTTCAATTTTGGAGGCCAATAATTTCCAAAATTGAACTGTCCTACGCTGATGACTTTGAATAGTTTTTTTTTTTTTNCTTATTTTACTAATTTGTTGATTTGTATGAATAAAATAATTATCTTTAAGAGCCTTGACATGTGCTTTTAAACCACTACCAATTTAACATACCCATTTATGGCATTACCATTTGTAGTTTGACCAACTTAAGTTCTTCTTTTTTATTATAAAAAAAAAAGTTTTTTCTTTTTTTTCCCTTTAATGATATATTTCCATTAGAGTAAATAAAATTCATTTAGTCACCAAAATAGTATATCACCATAAAATATTATAAAAGAAGCTAAGCATTTTAAATACTATTTACGAGATTTTATTATATGCCTCCTATGTTAAAATAAAATTTATGATTTCATAGAATTCATCCTCCAACACTTAAAAGTTTGTCTTTTATTTTAATTTAGAGGAAAATGGCATTTTGCTTAAAGAATTGCGTTTCAATGCATAATTAATTGATTTATATTTCTTAAAAGAAATATATATTAATTTAGATACAACACCTCATATTATAAAAATAATTAATATATAAAACTCAGGTTATAAAACTATAAATTTTTCTTTTAAGTCTAACTTTCAACGTACAATAACCTACCAAATTTATTAGAAAATTAATTATGTGTGAACTACCTTATTAGACCAGTAGAAAGCACG